TCTCCATGAGACATGAAGAGTAACGCCTTAGGCACGCGTGAATGCAAGTTGCCCACGGATCTTACGGACACCAGCCAAGGAAGATGTCATTACTGTAGATGTGGAACGGGAGCCGTGGAGATGCTCACACGATGTTGCATAAGAAATAGGACCTATGGTCCTCGAAGTCCTCGAAGTACTACAAGACTATCCTTTGCATTGATACCACTACTCGCGTCTGTTTCCAGACGATCTTCTTCTACGGAAGGAATTTTGCAAATGGTACAACACACTGCATAAGAGCTTTTTTACATGATATATAATAGTTCCTTGCGCTAGAGGTTATGCTCAACGTCCACCTATGGGCACCGTCATGCTATTCCCAAGCGTGGGCTTGAAGTCCGCTTTAGCGTCAGCGTTTGTTCTGGAATGGTCGGTGACCCTGTCTGCTACCTGACAGGCCGACTGCTCGAAGATAAGGTGATTTTCTGGAAACTCTGCCACTGGTGCTGCTTGAAGTTGTGCCTCTAGCCCCTCTAGCTGTGAGGCAGAAGATGTGGACGGAGTTCCAGCGCACTATGAGGAAACTGTCCGGCAGTGGATGAAGGCGGCGTAACCGGGAAGGTGAATTTGACGTCGATGGCAAGCTGATTGGTCTCCTTGGTCGCCGGTTCTAACTCCGATTGAACTTTTTCTGTGAGGACACTTTTAGGAAGACGTTTCTGAAGTCCCTACCAAGACTATCGACTGCCGCGTGTGACAAGGCCTGTCCGAGAACATGTAGTGCGCACTGAAGTCTGCCTTCATATGGGCAGATGCCGCTTCGAAAACCCAGTGTAACTACTTTGGGCCAATTGTTAGATCGTTCCATAAAGTGCGTCATTGGACGGTGACTCGTAACTTGAAAACAAAACCTCACAAGACATAGGTTGTACAATACTTTTGGCTTGGTTTTTAAGAAGCAGTTACACTATTCACAGCTTATGAGCGAATTTCCTTTCAGCATGCATATACATGCAGGTGTGTACTTATATATACTTTTAAATGTATACAGATGCATTTGTCACTCTGCTAACTAACCCAGAGGAACATAGTTCGTCAGGACATTATCAGGTCAGGAAAAGGCTGATTGGTGTTCTCAAAAGACCTAGCGGGTCAATCCTGTGTACAGTCGGTTTATTGTAGCACACACCCGCACGCCTTATTTCTTTAGTATGCATTTTATTATGAAAACTCGTGTACGAATAAATTGTTATTTCCACTTCACGTTACGTGATCTAAATGTTGCATCCATTTTTGTCTCCCAAACACAAGTTATCTTCTCCTCCAATCTCAACCTTCGTTTAATTATTCTAATAATCTGCAGTCATTGTACACTTGTACTTATATTTAATTATACTTCTTCACTGAAAATCATGACCGTCACAGTGAGCGCGGAGTTTAAAGCGCCTTTTGGCCTCAGTTGTTCGAACGCTGGGGTCAAGGTTTCAGATCCCACTCAAGGCACAGATATATGTCCAAGTGTCCATGTGCTGATCTAACCGTAGATGCTAAAGAAGTAGAAATTATGAAAATTTTCATTATGTAACTTTATCCAGCCATCTTTATTTCCACTCTTTCAGGCAGAAATGACCTCTTCAGAACACTGATTTCAAACACTGTAAAAAGAACCTGTAGGAATGCGTAAGTATGATGATCTAGTGAATTAAGAAGTGAACTTTCGATGTAAAAGAATGTCTCTTGATGAAAGCGAAATAGGCAGGTGAGGAGACCGTATACTTTGGGAAGGATTTTTTTATTAATTTTAAAACTGTCTATTCCCTGCACAACCAGCTACTTCAAACAGACCCAAAATCTTATTTATTCCCTTTCTTATCTTCGTTGCCAAAATGTTATAAGTATGAAAAGAATGCGAAAGTTCAGTTTTAGAAAAGAATGACATGTGATTGGGGGTACAAAAGTACTTCTTACCTCGGACCAACATGTTAAACCCCTGGGGCCACTTAATACGTGTTACACAAAGCATATAAAAATGTATTGGCTCAAATGAAACTATATAAGATATTTAAAAAATTGTATTCACCTTTTAAATTCACAAAGAAATAATTTGTAAATAAAAATAAACATACACATCTTGGATGATCTTCTAAGGTTCTAACAATGTTAATGCATATGAGTAAAATAATAAATGACAAGCATATAAAATAAAATTCAGTACCTTACCATATATGGAGTGCTGAACGAAACGGGAAATATCGTGCCATCTCTTCTACCTTTAATTGGTTCTGGAAGAAATCTTCAGTTCTCATTTCGCAGGTGGCATCTCTTTGAGGCGAAATAAACATAGAAATGTTCTCAACCCTCGTTACTGGCACTTCACTTTTCGTTCTCCCTTATTCACAATCACAGTGACACCTATCTAGTATTTCTTTGTTTTGTTTGCCACAAAAATTACTAAAATCCACTATCCCTGCTGGAAAGAAAAGTCCATTTCAAGGAAATAGTCTTCTTTTTCTCCTTGATAATTTATTGAAATTTGTATAGTTTTCATCGTCAGAAATATCGTCAAAAGCACTACATAATTCATCTTCAGAACTCGATTCAACAGGCTCTTTCCTTTTTGCCTCTCTGTTTTTCTGTTTCTCTGCAAAATGGCTCACTTTCCCCTCTTAGGCGTCAACATTTTTTTAATGTAATGTCTCAGCTCCGTTTCTCCAGTGGTGGTGAGAGCGACTTCTCTTTCTGCAGATGTCACTGCCGACCAGTTTGCTCCCTTCAACAGCAACAGCTGTACTGTGCTTGTGAAGTGCAGAAGGCCCACTCGTATCTGCATTATAAACGACTTCAGGGACAAAGTTATGTTTTTTCCTGTAGTCTCACTGTATTTTGTGAAAAGAGCTTCGACAACAGGTCTGTTAAAATAAGTAGCCCTAGCCACGTTAGTAACTCGAGGCTTTCTCAGAGCGACGACATTGTTGCTTGTTTTCATTTAATCAGTTACCCGTTTTCATCTGCTCTGTCATTTATACCCCACGAGTTTGGGTACCCTTGGTCAGTTCCTTTGCAAAGTGACAAGCTTATTTCATTACTTCTTTGTTTGTTAATGAGCAATGAATGCAGAAATCTGTCAAGTTTCCTTCCCCTTCTGTTGAGAATACATTCCACACTTCACGTCTTTTCCGCAGAGCTGTTCATTCCAATTTTTCTTGAGAACTTCAAGATGTCTCTGCTGTGCATTTAACACTAGGCTAGCGGCCTCCGTAGTCTAGGGGTAACGTTCCCACCTCATGACTCAAGGTACGCGGGTTCAAACCCGGCGGAGGTCGTGAAATTTTTAAGGGCGGAAAATTTCAGGGAACAAGTCCTCCGGGAGGGACTTTAAGCCGTGTGTCCCGTGTCGTAGATTTACGGCACGTAAAAGATCCTCATGTCTCTAGGGGACCTCTGAGCTAAATTAGGCAAAAAGTTTCCCGCCCAAGTAGTTTCCAATGCCTCTGGTAGATGGGGAAAGCATCAGGTACCACGTGCCAGAAGAGGACCGACCTCGCTGGCAAAGTGGGGCTGATAGCAAAGCACCAGTACCGGTAGGGTATGGGGACAGTAGAAATTAAAGGGGGACGGACAATGGACCAATAATTGGTCTAAATGCATGGGGAAACCGACCCCCTCTAGTAATGAATGAATGAATGAATAAATGAATGAACACTAGGCTGCTGTGCTGCAGCTCGAAGAGTCAGTTCTTCATGAACAGCTTCAACAACCAAAGAAAGATTTAGTATGGATATTGGTGGATGTTTGTACGTATTTTTACGTCTATATATAAAAAACATAGAACTCCTGCTTAATATTTTATTCCTCTTGCATTTGCATGGTGTTGTGCTAAAGAAAAATGTGTGAGCAGCTTTTGAATATCTCTGGACATTTGTTTATTGAATTTCAAACACCAAGAAGAGAGCATCACTTCCTATTGTCAGTCTCACTTCTCATCTGTACCTTGTGCCATGGACTTATGTACGAACCTGTCAATCTCCTGGGTACGAGGGCATGCCGTTTGAATTAAAAATGGTTACAACTTTTATTTTTGTTTATTAATAAACTTTGTCAATATCACACTAAATTCCCTACACTATGAAGATAATATACTGGAAGATTTCATGTGTAATATTTGTAGTGATTTGAGTGCTAGTTTCTGTGTGGAGATCCGTTGCTAGGAGACGGCTAGTGGAAACCAGAGAATCCTAATGCGTGTGAAACGGTGAACTGGAAAGTGTGTAAATCAGCGATACCGCTGTATTTGAGTATATTTAAGAGAGAGTGTGTAACTAAGTGGTTAATTAGCCCAATAATTACCAATATGAACAGAGCCTTCATTCAGCCAAACACGTTAGAATAAAGTCCGAAAACCCAATATCTCTGTACATTACAATATATGTTAACTTTTAATAGTTTCCCTTATATTTTCGTCCAAGAATTCAGAATTCTTGGTCGGTATAAGCACGTTGAATGCCTGTTATCAAATACAAAAGCTACAACAATGGACTAATGCCGCCTGCCATTGTTCCCTATGGTGCACAGCCTTGACGATTTTAATTCCCGTCTCTCAATTCTATAACAGAAATTTCCCTCTCGCGATGCAGAGAAGGAAGATGGATGACCTGAAGAACGTACTGGCCGTAGGTACAAGATTTCCCTCTACAATCCCACTTCAAGGTTGGAGCATAGTAATGAATCGTCAATTACTGCTTCGTGTTGTACAAGAGGCGTTCACCTCCTTTTCCTCTCTCATTTGTCTTACTTAAACTCACGCTATTGTTATAATTTTGTGTCTATAGATGCCCTTGCTTTTGTCACTGAAATATCCTACACTATAAGAGAGATAACGAAAGGATTTTTGAGACCTAGTGGAGGTCAACCGCATTTCTGTGAGCTGCATTACGATGTTCGTACTGAACGAGTTTCAATTGAATGAATCATTCTCTGTGACCATTACTTTGTAATAATACGCTACGACTTTCTCGCAGATGATGGTGCTCCGCCCGTTGCGCAGTCTGGAGACGGTTTTTTGAACTTCAGTGCCATTCGTCGGGAACACAGCGGTTGGTACAAATGCACGAGCCGCCATCTTTTAGGAGAATACAGCTCCATTGGATACTTCCTCAACGTCAGATGTAAGTAAATGATTAAATATTGTTTCAAAAGATGTCGTGAGCCGGCTCCAAGTGATTCTATTCAGAGAGATGTCCATCAGGGTCTCAAGACAAATCATAGGATCGTATATAATTATAATATTGTCACATGTTGGGTATGTCACGCGACAAATAACTTCACGTAGGTCTCGGATTGAGCGAATCTTTATTGGATACTCACTCTTACACTCTTTACAATTATTGTCACTTGTAGTGTCACCTGACTTCTGGCGACTAGGTTCCAACTGTATTCTTGCTGTCAAAGTCAAAGTCACATTGCGACCGACGGTGAGTCAGTCAGTAAGTCGCTCATGACCAGATATTTATTACTGTTTGACATTAACGGTATTGTTTTTGAGGGGCGCCCTCTCTGACGAGAGGACGGGTCTGTCTTTTATATATGCTGCTGGCCCTTGCCAGCGCAGTCTTTCTCTGGTCCGAGTCCCTTGAGACTCGCGACCATATTTTACTGTCTCCGATTTGAGACTTCCCTTTTTGTCGCCTCCTACGACTCGCGTGTTCTTGCTGTGTTCTTGCTGTCTGTAGCTCTCGGCTTATGTAGGTGTTCTGCGGACTCAGTAGAGGACACCTCTCGCCAGGTTTCGTTCTCACGTGTTCGGCAATCCGTTGCTTCGGGAACGCCCTTTATACACTGGTAACGAGTTTCGTATCATCCGTTGTTACTCAACGGCCTTCTGTTGTTCATCTCCGGGGAAACGCTGCTTCGTTGAGTCTGCAATTGTCTACGCAATGGCTCATTGCTATTGCGTTACCATGGAAGTGCCTATTCCAAACACGTTACAGTATATTAATTAAACGCCACAGCCTGTTAACATATATATATATAGCGTGTTTGGTTGTCTGTCACGCTACAATATTATTTATTATACTGCAATTGGGTTTTAGCCCGGTGGCAGTAGTACACAATAGGACACAACAGACAAGTAACACACATTACACTAAGTGACAATACGTTCAAACAAAACACAACACACAAAACACAACAAAAAGGACATCCTACCACAACGAATACAAACCAAATACGATTAACAACTACAACAATTACAGAGAAATACAAACAACTGCAACAAATACAACAACAATTACATAGAGAGAAAAAAAATACAACACCCAAAACACAAACAAAAGGAAACCAACAGTCATGGATGCGTAATGTCATTCACTTCACTTCACTTCACTTCTAACAAAATTCTATTCCTCCGCGGCTTTCTCAGTCCTCATAACAATATTCAGGTTAATACGAATGTTTTATTTCAGTATATAAATCCATAAACGTAATGTAACTGTCAAGTAGTTTATTATCGTATAAGTGTAACATGATACTGGATATTTGTACTAGTTTCCTATTTGCACCATGCAGAAAAGACGTACATTCCCGAAATCTGCAGGAACGCCCTTCGACGATATAAACATGAACTGCTATCGAAACATATGGAGAAACTTAATTTTGTCGGAATTAAAGTGTTGTTAGGTGGTGAAGTTGTAGATACTGTGGGAAGTAGATGTACCAAATTGACCCTTAAGAATGATTTTCACGCCAGCGACTCAGCAATAATTTTAGTTGGTTGGTATAATGTCTTAGCTTATTTTCGTGACATATAGAATCTGCTTCTCGGCCAGGTTCCTGCCAATCCCGGTTGAGATATTTTCGTGATTTTCCGCAGTTTCCTCTCATGTAAGCTGTGGTTTGAACTATGTCCATCTCTTTCTCAATACTTATCAAATCACTCTTTATGATCACATTTGGAATCGTACTGAAACACTGAAAATATTTCACAGTTCCCAGGCACAGCTCTTTGGCTTCCTTAGATGAAGAATTGCCGGTCACGGTAGCAGAGCGGTCTAAGGCATGTACTGTCTTCGCTCGCTTGGAAACCGGGATCGTGGGTTCGAATCCCACTCAGGGCATGGATCTTTAGTTTGTGTGTGTGCGTTTTTCTGTGTTTATGTACAGGTAGAGGAATTGCGGCGAGCTGATCACCCACCCAAGGAGTCCTACCAAACGTGTAAGTTCTAGAAAAACCGAAGTGAACGGAGAAGTTCATGGAGATAGGCCTAGGCCCACTGGGGCTGTAGTGCCAAGGAAAAAAATATGAAGAATTAACGCTCAGTACCACGTACAATAACAACAGTTCGTTTGCTCAAGTATGCCATTTTATGCCTTGTATTTAGACAAACAATTTTGGACGCTTTATGATGGTATGGTATTATAGGATCTATATCAGAGATAACAACGTTTTAATTGAGGAGGAGTGATAAAGATTGATTTGTCTTCTTTTCATTAACTTTATAACCAGTTCCATAGCTCAGGCAGTAAGACATAGGCTTCCAACCTCGGAGACGCGGTTTCAGTCCCATATAACTTGAAGTGATATTTGTGTTGGACGAAGATGCACTGGAGTATGATTTACTCCTGTTTCTTCAGTTTCCTCTGCTATTTATCATTTCACAAACTGTCTATCACCTCCCCCCGAACTGCGCCAAAGTCATGACCGGGCAACACAAGATCACACCTCCGGTCTTAAGTCATGGGTTTCATCACTGACCCGACCTTTGGCTGCTTACAAAGTAATAAAGTTTTCTTTTCGACTCTGTATAGCATATGAAGTCCATATTGCTTCGTCAAGAGCTCTAGGATGAGTCACTATTCAGGCTAGATTAATATTATTGTATGGCTTTGTAGAACGTCACTGCTAAATCATGTCCTATTACGTTAATGTACTGCACTAATGGAAGAAATATCAGGTTAGGTTGGGTGCATAATACTGGAGGTCAAGCCCATTGGCACAGTAACAATGGTTTATAATGAAATATTATGAAAGGTCCTGTAATTTTGATGAGAGGGCGTGGACATGGTTATTAAATTTGTATTTTTGTACCTCATAGTACTGTGCCTTTCATATTATCCGATTAATAATTGAGTTTCTATAGAATAATGCTATACGTGATGAGGCCCGTACACACGGTGCTCCATAAGTTGGTTCACATTCAGCTATAGAATGTCGTGTCGAGAACCTCGGTGCAAATTTGACGAGTGCACATTCTGCGTTCTTTGCGAGAATTATATAAGGTTAAGCCATGATGGAAATACAGCCTAATGTTCTCTCATTCTGCCCATCCACACCTGACACCTCGCAGCTCACTTAACGAATTTAGATGAAATTTGGCATGTTTGTCTGTGCACTCTGTAGTCAACGTGGTAACGGATTTTCAGACACCATAAAAGGCCCTTCTTATGCAACTAATGATTTGTGGTTTACAATAATACAGTAGGTTCCCGCTTAACCTCGTGGATACGTTCTGCTAAAGCGTGATATTACTTGAAGAGATGTTAAGCGGAACACTTTTTTCCCCCCTGGCACTACAGCCCCAGTGGGCCTAGGCCTACCTCCATGAACTTCTCCGTTCACTTCGGTTTTTCTAGATTTTACACATTCGGTAGGACTCCTTGGGCGGGTGATCAGCCCGTCGCAAGGCCTCTACCTGTACACAAACACAGAAAATCGCACACACAAACTAAACATCCATGCCCTGAGTGGGATTCGAACCCACGATCCCGGTTTCCAAGCGAGCGAAGACAGTACATGCCTTAGACCGCTCGGCTACCGTAATCAGCGGAACAATTTTTACTCTATGAAATTTAAGAAGAAAATAAGTAGGTTAGTTCCGTAGCCTTCCTCCACTCCCATAACGCGAATTGCAATGCAGGTTGTATGAACACGATTGTATATATTTATATATTATTGGCTAAAAATAACATTATAAACTAAAATATTTATTTAATATTTAGAGCAATATGTACCATTCACCAACGTCCAAAACTGAAGGGACCATGTGGTGGACGACAGCCCGCTCTAGTCAAACACGTGTTTGCATGAGTAAACGTCTTCTTCGACCGCTCTCTTCAGCTCTGGGATGAACACTTAAATGATAACGAGTAACACGACGTTGTGTACAGCCTTGGTATAAAAATGATATCAATGTAATAACGACACTACAGCAACTCTGACAAGACCGGGCCATAGCTCAAGCGGTTAGTCGCCGACTTCCCACAGAGGCGGCCCGGGTTCGAGCCCGGGTCTTGTCGTATGTGGTTTGTGGTAGACGAAGTGGCATTGAGGCAGGTTTTCTCCGAGTACTTCGGTTTCCCTTGTCAATTCGCATTCCAACTGTTGCTCCACAATCATCATTATCATCATTTGGGGCTGATGCAATAGGCTGAACATTGCCCGCAGTACAAAGTGCACTCAATCTCACTACACGAAAGAAAAATAATTCGACAAGATGAAGCAATGATTTGCCATCCGTGTCAGGGTAACTTCATATTGGTCATTTCAGTCCATTGCAGTTAGACTGTTCCTGTACATGAAGATAAACTCGAACGACAGCAAATTAAAAACTAATCTTTGTTACTTAATGAGACTGCACAAGCGGTCAATTGCTAGTTTCCTACCGCAGCGGCCCAGGTTGGATCCTGGGTCTGGTCAAGGGGGTTTTGTGGTGGATAAATTGGCGCTGGAGCAGGTTTCTCCGAGTACTTCGGTTTCCCCTGCCAATCTTCATTCCACCAATTGCTCCACAATCACCCTCATCTATCATCTGCGGCTGGTACAATAGGCCAGAAGTGGCCGCAGTACAAGGGACTTAGTCCTGCTCCACTAGCATTAAAAAAATAATAATGAGACTGCATATCGAAGATTTTCATAGTTTTCCAATTTGTGTACAACTGCTGGGACTTTTAAATACCTAGATCCTAAGCAATTTCTCAGCATTTGCTTGAACTCGAAGAAAAACTACAAGTTCTCGCTCTTTGATTAAACGGGTTGATTAAAAAATGACCAGTCCTTCTCTGAGGATCGATTTATATATATATATATACACCTGTGTTATGCAGACAGTGTTCCATATAGTCTTCTCATAAAATGCACGAATATCAATGCGTATCTAAAAGACCCGGAACA